TCAGCACTACAACACCATCGGCACAAGTCACTACTTTCATTCGCAATTGGTCAACCTTGACAAGAATCTCGTTTATCACTAAAAGTTATGGACAAAAGCACCCCGTCTTGTAGAGTGCCTCTGTTACAAACGTCCTTATGGAGCCCCAATGTTTGAATTGATTATTCTGCTTTTCATCATAGGATCAATCCACCAGGGTAAATGGTATTCCCGTTTTAATGGGAGCTAAGTGGATAAATTTAAATTTTAGGTTTTTGAAAGCTCATTCTATAACGAGAAAATCTGCCAATTTAAAGTTGGAGTTCTCCAAATTTCTCTCCATATGGAGATTTGCATTTGATGTAGGCGTGCTGATTTTATTGATGTCCAGTGACTTTCTAATCTCAAGATCTAATAACCTCTTCATTATTTTCAAGAGAATGAAAGAAAGGCGAATCGATCTGTTGTATTTCGGCAAAGTGTTACTTCTCCCTACAGACTTGGTATGAACCTCAGCCATGCCCTGAAAATCTCCCTCAGTGTTATTAAAAACTGATCTGAGGCATTCTGTGGTCCGAGAAGGAGCACTCTTCTGATACTGATACCAATTGTGAACTTCACTTTTTATAAAATTTTGAAATACAATTATTAAAACTAACATTTTCTAAATCTTCCTCTTTCTCCTCCATCTCAAACTTGCCGTAAATTGTGATTTTATTTAATTGAATTAGTTTCTCGTGGCGTTGCCCTGAATGATTGACCGATTATTCGTCAAACTTAATTTGCTAAATTCATGTGTTCGAACATGACCATTGGCAACACCAAATTTAATATTTGTGGTTGGTTGGCTGTGGTTTTCGGCCAGTGTGGTGTTTAAAGCTCGCCCATAAACCTAAACAAATACAATCGATTGTTGTTGGTTGGTCCTTAAACACAGCTAAGGATTATTATGATGATGCTACAAAATAATGGACGTACAAAGTGGAAGCTGAAGACGAAGATGCAAGGTATTAAATTGAAATATTTCTTACAATGAAAATAATGACTTTATATCGATGCCTGTCGATATGCAGTTCCATAGCCTTGCCCTGTAGGATGAAGCGACCGGCAGTTGTCTGAGTTGCCATCAACATCACCAGGAACAATTTAATCATGCCACGTCCCAATATGTTATTGAAAGCTTTAAATATATAGCTATGGAATGGATGTTCGGTTGGTTGTTTGGTTGCTGCCGAGATAGATTGTAGACGAAACTGTTGGTTGATGGCATGGCAGAATTGTTTGTTCTTTTTTTTGGCATAGCTTGTTGTCGATGTTGCGTTGCGTTTGAGGCTACGTTAATAAGAAATTAATGTCTTGATCATTTTCGATCGTTATGTAAATCAATCAGGAAAATTATACCTCAGGGGCTTGCCACAATAATTAGACCCTACTCGTCTCAAAATGAAAGCAAACGAGTGGCCTATAGCCAGTGTTAGGGTTTGCGTTATGGGAATTTTTGAGTTTGGAAAATTTCGATTTTATTGTACGGTTTAAGTTTGGGGTCGGTTTGTATAAAAGTGCATTGATGGTTCTCTTGCGAAATTATCTAGGATGTTCGGACGCTAGTTTTCAAAATATCTTTTTCAAACTATAATATTTGCTTTACAATTTTACAAGGCCATCAGGTTATTTTCGATGATTAAGAATGGCTAAGACTTTGCTTTATGATTACAAATTACCAATTTTAAATCTCCAATTGTTTTTATTTCCTCCCAAAACACATCCACAATGAAACACCTAATCCCCAGTTCACCAACTAGTTACGTACTTGTAGAATTTTATCGGAAGAAAAAATAAAGAAAATATTAAAATTTAAAGACATGCAACATCAATGAGGGAACAAAAGCTGGCATGCAACAATACAGCCGATCGATTTGCACACGTATCAGCCAGCAGTCCAACAGCTTTGTAAATTGTGCCAAACAGAATATGTTTATGTTGCACAGTGTAGGATGGTTCAAACATTGATAATAACAAACTTATTTTTTCTTTTTACAAAACAACCGATTTTTAACACCTTTGTCATCACATTAAACGCCTAGCTCTATCGGGCTATATGGACATGGCGAAATGGTCATCAAATTTTATTCTAATCATTTAGACAAAAAATCGTATATTATATGATCTGGCAGTAAATGGAGAGAAGACCAAGATAACGGTATGAACGCGCAAGACGTCCAGTAGACTCGGACCAACTGTGTGAACTTGAGAACTATAGCTTCGAGGTAGTCAAATATTTCATATACCTTGGCACAACTAATTCAAATTCGGAGGGGAATAGTGTTGACCTACTTCAAGCCAGACCAAACTCGCACTCTAAAAGACGCTGACGCATGGGTACTTGCGTAGGCAGATTATTCAGCTCTTAGAGTGTTTGAGAGAAAATTTCTCTGAAAGATCTATAGGCCGATCTGCGTCGACGAAAAAGGTGACAGATAAGTGGTTTGATTGAGCCATCGATTACTAGATCTGTGGATTGAGATCTTCGTCTAGCGAGTTCGTCTGCTTTTTCATTACCAATGATATCAAAGTGTCCTGGTACCCAACACAGCTATTAGCTTTTTTGAGTACCAGGTTGTAAGAGCCGCCTGACTATCCACAAAGATAATCACCGGTTCAACGATCTCTGCATCCAGACTTTTTATCAATTCCGCTGGCTTCCAAATCGCGGAGATTTCAGCTTGGAATATGGTGCAGGATTAATAGAATAAACGGTTAATAAGCGGTAGAATTAACCCTATTTTTTATCAATAATAACTTTTTTCTCCCATTCAAAGTAATACCCCTCAGATGTGTCTTGTGCGCAATTTTTCCAATTTGAAAGACCGTGGTCTTTCCATCGAATGCGTAGCTTTCCCCTTCTGTGTGAACCATCAGTAGGCTCGCTTGTATATGCCATTTGAGCTGGGGCATCCTCATCCGTTCGCACAACATGGCCTGTATAGATGGTATAACTCGTGGTTAATTTCCACTCAAACACTCCAAGACACGCCTCATCTGCTTGCGCAAGTACACATGATCAATACACCAGCACAGGCAATATTAGCGTCTTGTAGAGTTTGAGGTTGATGTTTCTAAGTTGCTTACTTAGACCGTGATAGCATCTGTTTCAAAACTGATGTCATTAGTTTTATTAATGGCGGTACCGAGATATATAAAATCTTTGACTGCCTCGAAGCTGTAGTTTTGAAATTCCACAGTTGGTCTGAGTCTACTAGACGTCTTGCACGTTGATACCATACCAGCCTGATCCTCTCGCCATTTGCTGCCTGACTCACTTTGGCAGACTCCTTCTCAATTTGTTCAAAGGTGGCTGTTACCGCTCGCAATGTTCGATCCAATATGTCGATGTGATCTGTTGTTTGATGTACAGAGTGTCATTTATGTTCCTCTTTGCCCTTCGTATAACGTTTTTCAGCAGGATGTTAAAAAAATCACACTACAAACCGTCACCTTGTCTGAATCCTCGTTCGTTATTAAAGGGTTCCGAGAGGTCCTTTCCGGCTTTAACTGCTGACCGAATGCAGACATGACTTTAAACCCCTTAGCGCACTGAGGTGTCGAATGGGTTTGCAGGATAACGTTTTTCAGCAGGATGTTAAAAAAATCACACTACAAGCCGTCACCTTGTCTGAATCCTCGTTCGTTATTAAAGGGTTCCGAGAGGTCCTTTCCGACTTTAACTGCTGACCGAATGCAGACATGACTTTAAACCCCTTAGCGCACTGAGGTGTCGAATGGGTTTGCAGGATTAGTCATTTGCAGGATTAGGCGCAGAGTAAAAATCAGGTCTGAATCCGCAATTGGTATGGTCCAATAATGTCATTGACCATTGGCTTTAGTCCTCCACACAGTACGCTGGAAAACACTTTATATACATTAAGTGTTGCTACTGTTTGCAGGGTTGCCATATAAGCTGCGTTTTTCACCTCAGTAGCATTACGACACTCCTGATCGTACTATAGATTTCTTGTTGGTAATCCTTGGTACCCAAGTATTGCTTCTGCTGCAGTTTGTAGGGAGTGGGCAATTTTTTGCTATTGTGCTTCTTTGTTATATTATTGGGACAAGGAGTGCTTTCGTCAAACAGGTGGGTATGTTGAGCGGAGTAGGCTTCTTCTACTTGTTGTGTTTGCAGCTTTTCAATGTCGAGTTTCCGTGTTACATTAGATCGCACCTTTGCTGCTACATTAGGACGAGTTCGAATCTTGGCTACTACAATGTAGTGTTCCGAATCTATATTCACTCCTCGAATCGATCGAACCTCTAGTACACTGGATGAATGCATTTTGTCTATCTGAACATGATCATTTTGATTTCTCGTTGTTTGATAACGTCGTGGTCCATTATACGTTTGCAGGGTTCGTCAACATTAGGGGGTTTGGTTTCTTTTTTCGTTGCATTGTTTCGATTTTTCTTTTATCTCCTCTATCTTAGCAAAACGATTTTCTTTCCTTGGTGTCCTTAGATTTGTGAAGAAGAAGATCGGTCTAGGTTCTTCTGGACGTTAGAGAATTATTTACATAAATCTCATAAAGGGGTAATATTGATCTCATTTATTGTGTTACCCCCGATTTTTTATCTGTTTCCAACCGTGTAATTCATTTATCGAGAATATATCTTATTCTTCTCTCGCCCCCAAAATTTCAAAATTTTCCTACACTGTGCTCCAACAACATCCACATTAAATATGTACCAGAGGGTCGAACATGGAATAGGGAGTGTTTTTCGCTAAAACGTCTTTATTAAAACAACCAAACATTAAGACGGTATTTTAGGCACCAAACACTGTCTTCCGCATCTCACCAATGCCAACAACATCATCACAACGGCCACCACAACCTCAACCAACCACTCTTGCGGAAAATTGATACTTCTTGTATATTTTGTTGTTGTTTTTTTTTATTTTTTTTTTTTTCTGGATAAAGAAGGCGATTGAAAAACCCCCAACGGCTCTGACATATTTGCCACTTTTGAAAATGAGTGTTACCATGCCTGATGATGATGATGAAACTGAGGACGAAGTCAACAACAAATGGATGATTGGCCGTTCAGATGATCGACGTCCCAAGGATCACATGGAATACGTATGGAATACTAAGCACCCGGTAACAAGATGCGTAAAACTTATTGATTTTCTTGGTTGTTGAGCCATCAAAATTTAATCAAAACATGTTGTTAAACTCTTCTTTTGCTGTTCGGTAACTGCCTATCGGCCATATCGACCGGAGTAATTTTGCAGCTAAGCCACGCTGAGCCTGTTAATGTGAACACAAACAATTTCAGTAGAAAAAAATTATAAAATATAGTGAAATTTCATTAACCCTTTCAGTGTCACAAAAATTTTTTGTCGGAATAAAACTCTAAAATTTTGTACTTAAAATCATATGAAGGCACTGAGTTTAGAAAAAAAAAAGCAATTCTTATTTTAACCCTCGGACAGTTTTGTCTGTCTTTCAGCAAAAACAAAGACATCAATTGTAACGGTACATAGGATAACCGAAAAATTGCAAAGGAAGAGAGTAATTTTAAATGTCGAATATATTCGACAAAAACACTGAAAGGGTTAAAAACACAGCTGATGTTTGTAGTTTTTTCCCTTATTGATTGATTGTTAGTGAAGATGAACTGAATAAAATTGGTGCATTCAAGTTATTTTCGGAATGGTGTTTGTTTAGCTAGGCGTGATAAAATCAATTTTATAAAATTCTATAACATAAATGGTTGCCTTTTTAAGAGATCAATTTAAAAAAGCTAGGGGACAGAGGGGTACACTGTTTAGAAATTGTATGCACCTCTTCTATCGTCTATCAACAACAGAATAACTATTTCCACAAAACCTCCCTAAAATTTTCCATGGTTAATTCAACATTATAAAGCCTTACTTTTTCTTCCCCATCTTTTTTGATATTAGACTTACAAATTCACACTTGATTCGCACACCATTTAATATTCATTTAATTTATTTGCATTTTTAATTACTTATGGACATTTTACACGTGTAAACTTCAAAAAAAAGGAAAAAAGAACATGGACATATTTTAAGTATCTCATTCGCATGACCGCCTGCTCGTTTTTGACGAAAAATAAGAGAATGAGCAAGTATTCACGTAATTGAGAATAAATGTGTAAAGCATTCTATTAAATATATTGAATGCCATTAACTTTTAATTACACGAACATTTTCTTATATAAATATTTAACAGAAACCTTAAAAGAAACATGATCACATAAGATAAGGGAAGAATGAATGGTTCCCATTGTACGAACAAGATAAAACTATAGCTGTGGATAGTCGTCATACATATTCTGGACAAGAAAACACGTTAATTACTGAATATGCATCAACATATTCAGTGCTTACTAACTAATTAAATATTATTTGTTGTTAAAATATATATAAATATATTATGCTATTATACCATAAGCCCAGATGCTAATGATTATTTATACACTTCCATACTATTAAAAAATTACTTCATGAAATAAACATGATCGAATATATGACATATCGTTCCACGGATGTTGGTACCTAACCCACAAAATGGTGAACAAGTTTTGCATATATAAGATCATGCGAGCGGAATATCCTATTTGATCCTTATTTTTTCACAATCAATAAATTCGTACGTTCCTTCACAAATTGTTCACATTTTGAAAAATTATAAATTTAACGAGCTTAAGTGGCATATATGAACTTTCCTCGGAACAAATAGCGCACTAAAAGTGTTTTTTTTTTTTTTTTTTTTTTTTTGATTTAATGGCCTATCTTGAAATACTTGTGTATTATCAGTACGACAATTTTGTTAATTCACGGTTTCAAAAAACTTTATTGTGAAAACCCTGTATAATGAAACCCCGAAATACCGAATGATGGCGGATTCCACTGCATGGAGCAAAACTTTGACCAGCACTGATAATTTTTGTTAGGGAGAACTCAATGATTGATTTTTTAATTGATAATTCATTTTTTTTGGGTTGGGGGGGGGGGGGGGGGCAATGGTCGTTTTTTAAATGTTTAATGTAAACTCAATCACGGTGTTTATTGCAAAAATTTCGCAATAGTTTACAAACCCAACTGAAACTTACAACTCTATAGAGCAAGGGTTTGATTAAGACCGGTATATGCGAGGATATATGAACAAGTTTATCTATACCAACAATTTTCAGGTATATTTTTTACCCACAACATTTTTATACCCTTCACCACACTGTGGTACAGGGTATTATGTCTTTGTGCATATGTTTGAAACAGGCAAAAATAATCGAGATAGACCCATGGTTCCTTTTGAGAATATGCATAGAATCACTTTCTGAGTCGATTTATGCATGTCCGTCTGTCCGTCCATGTATTTTTGTTAACAAAGTACAGGTCGCATTTATGATCCGATTTTGATGAAATTTTGAGGTTCTTGAGCGCGTTTTTTAACTGAATTCGCTGAAATTTGGTACTTTGAGTTCTTATTGGATAGCAAATCTCCCTACCAAAAATTATAAATAAAGGTCAATTTTTTCGAATAGCCCCCATATAAAGGTACCCCCAAATTTTCGGCATTTTGAGGTTCTTGAGCGCGGTTTTTAACTGAAATCGCTGAAACTTGGTACTTTGAGTTCTTATTGGGTACCAAATTACTCCACTAAAAATTATAAATATAGGTCCAGTTTTTCTGGTAGTCCCCATATAACGGTACCCCCAAATTTTTGGTATTTTGGGGGTTCTGATCGTATTTTTTCAACCGAATTCGCTGAAATTTGGTACTCTGAGTTCTTAATGGGTAGCAAATCTCCCTACCAAAAATTATAAATAAAGGTCCATTTTTTCGGAGAGCCCCCATATATGGGTACCCTCAATTTTCGGTATTTTCGGGTTCTTGGGCTCGATTTATAACTGAATTATCTGAAATTTTGTACATTGGGTTCTTATTGGGTACCAAATTACTCCACTACAAATTATAAATATAGGTCCAGTTTTTCTGGTAGTCCCCATATAACGGTACCCCCAATTTTTTGGTATTTTGGGGGTTCTGATCGTATTTTTCGACCGAATTAACTGTAATTTAGTACGTCGAGTTCTTATTGGGTAGCACATCTCTCCACTATAAATGGTAAATATTGGTCAATTTTTTCTGGTAGCCCCCATATAAGGGTACCCCCCAACTTTCTTTTTATACCCTTCACCACACTGTGGTACAGGGTATTATGTCTTTGTGTATATGTTTGTAACAGGCTAAAGGAAACGAGATAGACACATGGTTCCTTTTGAGAGTATGCATAGAATCACTTTTTGAGTCGATAAGCACGAAATTTGCCACAGCGCAACAAATTAGGTCTAGAATGATGTGTGTTAATTTTCCTGAAAATCGGTTCAGATTTATATATAGCTCCTATATATAAATGGTGCACCAAAGTCCCTATATATCCTTCGATTTGCACGAAATTTGACACAGCGTAATGAATTATCTCTAGAATGATGTGTGTTAAGTTTCCTGAAAATCCGTTCAGATTTAGATATAGATCTCATATATATTTTCGTCCGATATAAGGTAAATTGTGCACAAAAGTCCCCATATATCTCTCGATTTGCACTAAATTTGGCTCAGCGTAATGAATTAGGTCTAGATGTGTGTTAAGTTTCCTGAAAATCGGTTCGGATTTAGATATAGCCTCTATATCTGACCAAATGAACAATTTAGTATCGGTTGCAGAATGACGTGTTTATGGTTCCAATTTCATTTTACTGGTCCTTTAAAAATGCGACTTTAAAAATGTGTTAGGATTCATCTGTTGAATATACTCAAAGTGGTGAAGGGTATCACATAGTCGGCCCCGTCCGACTTTACTACTTTCCTTGCTGGTTTTTTTTTTTTTGGATTTAATGGCCAATTTTGATTTACTTGTGGATTATCAGAACGACAATTTTGTTTATTAACATATTCTTCAAAAAAAAACTTTATTTTTTATTTAATTCAAACCTACCCTATAAAGTTTCAAATGAAAAAATTTTAAAGCTCAATATGAAGAATCCAAAATCGCGGTCAAGTTTCTAAATATTTTATTAATTATTTTTTTTTATATACGGTTTGTAGACTTATTTTCACTGATTGCAAATGTGAAATTGACCAAAATATAAAATGACTGCAAATTTGGTTCAAACACATTGGGGGTAATGTTATATGAGGAGGTGGTCCAAATTGATAATTTTAAGTGAACCAATATTGAATGTTTTCAGTAGTAGGATTTCCTATCCAATGAATGGATATATAAAAAAGTTTATCTATACCAACAATTTTCAGGTATATTTTCACAAGGTCAGTGTCAACGTCATTTATCAAAAAAAATGTAAAGAAAAAAATACAAGTTATAAAAAATAAATATTTTGGAATCCTCCAAAGAAAATTGAAAACCCTGAATGAAAATCTATGAAATGTATATTTCTATCGCTTCCACATTTTTCCTCTAATTGAGCCATTGCCACTTAAATGCGCAACTAATATGAAAATGCTGCAAACTGCGAGTTATGAAAAAAAAATATCCTTTTTCAAACCTTTCCAACATGCAGATTGAGTAAATTGAATACGGAACGAATTCAATTTTATTGTTTTCATTTTTACACGAGTATTACGTTGGAATCAGCAATCAGCTGAGTATAATTGGTTACATATCAAAAATACAGCTCGGTTTTGTTATGCAAGTAATAGTACATTTACATTGTAATAGATTTAGTAAACCCTTGTAAAATTTTTATTTATGTCTGATTTCAGATATCGTGTTCAACATACATAAAGTATAAATTGGCAATTGAATGTTGCCAAATCCCATAATAGGTAGACGTCCATGTAATAGTACTATTCGATTTTATGTTAGCAAAAAGTGGTAAATTATTAAGTTTTATCCAAATGTGTTCAATCTTTCAGTTTCATAAAAACTGATAAGACTAATTATACTGTTCAAAATTATGTTCGATTTGACAATATACAAAATGCTTTCGTGTGGAGTCAACGCTTCGCAGTCTGTTAACTTTCTTAAGTGTCATAATGTGTAATATTCTTAAAGATATCAACTCGCTTTTGGTAACCTTACAGTAAATAACTTCCAAAAACTCCCGAGAAATGCCAACTCGCCCATGACAAATTGATTTTTGAAAACCTTTTTTTTAAAAAGAAGCAGTTTCTAAAATTTTAACTCGCCGACACTTTATAAATTTAGTCCATTTAATATCCATTCAATCGTTGACCCCCGTCCTTAGATCGTCGACTTTTCGCATAACCAATTTGCAAATTCATTTGATACAGTTTTCAAATGAAAACGTGAATATCCTTTACACAAGGTGTCGATGCCTTTCCAAAAAAAGGGATTTCCCACGAAATTCGAAAATTTAAAAGTCATTTGCTTTGCATGGAATTTTAACGCCTTTTCTGGCCAGGTTCACTGATTCATCAATCATTATTGCTTTAAAAAAGTCAAGGTGTTACAAAAAATGAGCAAAAAATGACAGGGGTAAATCAGGGTTCGTGTACCCCGAAAACAATTGTGACGTGTGTCAGGCACACACCGTGATTAGTTGCATTCTAAAAAAATAAGGTTAACTTTCCCTCTCGTCCACGGTAAACTCTAACGAAAAAAGTGCACATAATCGATAATTAGTCCCCAATATATTACAAATAAATTTTATGCAACAAAAAAGAAAAAACAAGCACAAAAAATTATGGTATAAAAAACTACCAAAAATCACTGAGAATTTATTCAAATCAAGTGACAAACGCCTAATTAACCCACCCCAGAGTAAATATTGTCACAGGGTAATGATAGCCAATAACAACAACAAAATGTCACCATAATCGACCCACACTAATGATGAGCCGATACTAAAAAAAAAACACAATGACTGTGGGTCGTTATGCCAGCCCAACAAAAAAAATTAGGGTACCCATTTTTTAGGACTTTATTCACTTATTTTACATTTTTTAACATTTGTTTTGGAGTATCTTTAAAGATTCCATGCGAGTTTGATGGCCCTTGGGTGTGCGTAGTTTAAATATTTCAACATAATTTGAGGGTAGTTTTTATTCCCAACAACAACAAAAACAACAGCAGCAGCAACGACGTTCCCTTAACAACATCAATTTAAACTCACATTAGAATACACACACAGCATTACCAGTCGCCATAATGTTCGCATTTTTGGTTTTCAAATGAATTTTTAACGCTAATTTTTCCTCTCCCCTCAAAGAAAAACAGTCACTGTAGTAATAATGGTAGCTACAAGAAATTGTGGCATGCCTCCAGTCACTGTGAAAGTGTCACATTCATAATGCCCGAATGCGACTGTTTTGGTGGTGGAAATGGGATTTTGGGATCTTTCGGTGTAATAAAGTACTAACGTCTGCTGCTGTTACTGCTGATGCCGTCGTTGCTTTGATTCGGTTCCACTTCAGTGTGTTTGTTTAACGACCTTTGAAATTAGAAAAATACACATTCCACGAAAATCATTTTTAATTTGCATAAACAATTTGTTTTCTTTGTTGTTGTAGGTAATATTTCTTTAAAATCAAATGAAAATTTTACAAAGAAAAATATTTAAAGGGTCGTCAAAAATTTTAGCTGCACTGATATATCAGATTTGTTACTAACCAATGAACATAAAAATCCAAAATCAGATGGGCCGACTGCGAGTTCATAGCCTGTTATTTGCTCTAGAGAATGAACGAATTTTGAAGATGTCCACTTTGGATTTGATTGTCCTAAATTTCTAGAAATTTTGCTTTGCTTGTGAAATCCTTCGGTTTTTTTTTTCATTCACACCCCTAAGGTCGGTTGTTTCACGAAAGGTGTATTTTTTTAAGAATTGCATTCTGAGCTTGAAAAGGCTGAGCATGGACACAGGAAATGTTCTAACGTTTCGCTTTCTTCTGCTCATGTGGGCCTGCAGGCTGCTGTGTCCTGTGATAATACTGGTCACTCTGCTGATTTCCTTTTTGTTCAGCATTAAGATTTGCTTTGTCTTATCCTCACTTGGGTCTTCCCATAAGGTGTTTTTTTGTTTTCCACAGTCGTTTATTCAAAAATTTTTTTGGGTTCCCGTTGCCGATGACCTCAGATCTAAACGTGTTGCACTGAAATGTTTGGTATTATTTACATGCATTGTATTTTGATTCCTACTATTCCCATGTGATTTGGAACCCATGTGATTCGTACGATACAATGTCGCGAGAAATAATTTATGATTTTTATACATTGTAACACAGTTTTGGATTTAACTGTTTTAGAGGTTATTGTTTTTATACCCTTCACCACTCTGTGGTATGAAATTTTATGTAAATGATACACGAAATTTTACAGCGGGTATGGAATTTCGTCTAGAATATTATGTGTTAAGCTTGGTTGAAATCGGTTTAGATTTAGATATAGCTCCCATATATATTTCCACCGATTATATGCAAATGATGCATCGATGAGCCTCTATTTGTTCGCCTAACATAAAATACGTGTTGGACTGAAATCGGTTCAGATTTAAATATACCAAAAATCAATCAAAAACTAAAGTTTGTCCGATTGGGACGAATTTGTACACAACGTACCAAATTGAACTTATAACATCGAGTATTCGTCCAGATTTACATAAATCTCCCATACATAATTTTGCCCGAATTCACACAAATGGTACACTAAAGAACCCACGTTTGTACGATTGACATGCAATTGGTCATAGATTTCAGAATGGTATGTGTTGGTTTTAAATTAGCTCATATGTCTAAATTTCGTCCGATTCCATTTTAAGGGGACCCCCCCCATTCTCGGTGTCAAAAATTTTTTGATTTAATTCGAATCTACTCTAATTCTAGAATGTCTCTACAAAATTTCAAGTGAAAATCTCAAGAACTCTTAAAGATATAGCCGATTTATTGTGTTAGCATCAAGTGACGGTTAAGGGCTTCTCAAACTTTAAACGCGTTTTTCTCAAAACGAATGGCGGGCACGATAACTCAAAAACTAATAATCCAATCGGTTTCAAATTTTGACACGTTTCTCTGGGAGTGTTTAGCTCTCGTATGAACTAGGATAAAGCTAATCGGTGAAGATCTTCCTTATTTTTTAACTTAGTTTGTGGTAAAAAATAGGCGATTTTCCATACAAATTTTTTCAAAGTTCCGCCATTTTGTTAATTGTTGTGCGAAGTCAATAATCCTAGTTTCTAAAACAGTTGGAATTTTCGGATTCCGATGTTCCAGTGAGGAGTTATCATGCCCGCCATCGAAAATATGGACTTTTCTTTGAACCCAAAAAACAACAACAAAACAACAACAAATTTTGGTAAATTATTTTTCTTCCTTTTTAAATCTTCAAATACATATGCGCCAAGTTACAAACCTTAACAAGCATTGGTATTCATTTACCAGCCCATTTAAAATCTTAAAAATAAAAAATCGAGAATGGGGGGGTTCCCTTAATAGGACTCTAAAGATGTTGTGTGTTCTATCTACAGGTATTCTACTTGAGGATCCGATTCTGGACTGTACTATATTTTGCGGGGTCTATTGTGTCCGGTGTCGAACCACTCGTTCATAGCATTAAGTTTTAACGCTGCGACGGCAGCTTCATATTTTATTTGTCAATGTCAATTGAATGTATATATAGTATCGTCTCCAAAGCTTTATTTTATTGTCCGCATTGTCCCACATATACCTATATACCTCTGGGCTTTCTGTAACAATTTAACATTGCATTTCTTTGCCCATTGCCGCCACCAGACTACCGAAGCGTATGTTAGAATGAGTCTAATGACGCTCTTATAGATCCAGTGTATCATCCTTAGATTAATATCCCATTTAGAGCCTATGGCTCTTCTGCAGAAGGATCAGCATCTGCGAGCTTTGTCTACCCATACATGTATGTGATCTATCCATTTAAGTTGTCGGTCTAGGATGACCCACAGATATTTAACTTTGTTTTATGTTTTGAAAACATTTTGTTTTGAAAAATAGATTATTCATACTGCCCAATTTTTGGCCTTTCTAGTGAAGAGACGTATCTCCGTCTTGGCCGTTTCAGCCTTCTTACATAACAAGTTAGGATTCTTTCGCCTCAGAAGTATTATAACGTCTGGGATCAAATTTCTCCTCTTTTAAGGTCCTTAAGATTCTATTGAAGCTTATAACTCACAGCAGTGGTGATAAAATCCCTCCCTGTGCTGCCCCTTGTCCTTCTTTGTCCCCGATATTTTTGTGTTCTATGCTACATCTATTCCTTAGCATGTAGCTGACCCAGGCTGTAATTGTCTGATCAAGTCGAAATGTCTCTAAGGATTGGATAAGTGTTTCAGTGCCGATATTATTGAAAGCTTACTCGATATTGATGCTTTCAATGTGCTGTACCACTTCGCGCAGAGTTGTTTCCACTGATCTTCCCTTTAAGTACGCGTATCGTTGGAAGTGTTTCTCTTTATCATGATGTCGACTAGTTTGGAATAAGAATGCAATTCGGCTTATTGGCCGATAGGATTTTGATGTTGCGTTCTTTGCCGTGCCGAGCTTTGGTATGAATACCATTTTAACTTCCTGTCAGTCTTTCGGAGTGTATACAAACTTCCCTAGCTTCCTGCCAGGCTTTCGAGGTGTACGCAAATCGTATATACGAGTTAAAGAGTGCTGCTAAATATACTTATGTATAGTTCGCATATTTTGTAATAAAGCTGGGAGAACGTTGTCTGTCCCAGCTGCTTTAAATGGCGAAAAGTTCTTCAATGCATCGCGCATCACTTGTCCATCAATCTTAAGTTTCTCGTATTTTTTCCTCCCTTAGCACCGTAATTTCATCAGATATCCATGTTTTCTGTGGGAACACATGAGGAGTCATATTGTTTATTTCGTTGTCTCTATTCTGTTTTCCCCCTCATCTACCCTGGATTAGTTTGTGTGTGGGTTCTTCATAGAAATTTATACATTTTTGAGACGTCATATACGCTATCTACCTTTTCAACGAAAAATTTCCAGGAGCTGCGTTTAGCGGTTCTCGTCATTTTGTTTCACCTGGTTATGCTCGAACCCATATAGGAAAAGGCAAAAATAAACAGTATATTTTTAAAAGACAAATATTCACACCTTTTGCACCAAAAACTCTAATTTCAGTTAAAGTTTCTAATATTTAGACCTTGGATATCTAAATAAATTATTTTAGTTATATTCTATATTATTCTCTTTTTGTTTGAGTAATTTAGCAAGTGAAATTTTAAGAAAATCGTTAAAACGTCTAGGAAGTCAGCAAATTTACACAACGACCGAACACCTTAACTACAAATGAACCACAAAACGCCATTACTCTCCAACAAAGTATTAACACCGTTTTCAGGTAACTCATTTGCATTCGACTCCTGTGGATGGCAGCTAACGATTGCCACAGATTACTGTGGAGCATTCTTGGTGTTTATGTGTTCCATTATAGACCGCAATGAAAAGTGTTTCTTCAGGTGTGTTCATGTGACATTGTTAAGGTGGGTCGATATTAAACAAAAACTCATACATATTTCCTACTTTTTTAAAAAAGTTCCGTTGGAAGAGTTTTACGGCTGGTTGCACAATGTGTTAATTCTGAAATAGGTATTGGAATGGAATAATTGAAAACAACATTCAATCCACAAAAAAAAACTTTGTTTATCTTTAGTTAAATCTTCTGTGTCTAATATTCGCTTTAGAACATTTACAATATCATATTACAATACTCTATATAACTCCATAATTATTTTTACATGAAAATATGTAAATCCTTGACATCCACCCTCCCTAATGTCTATTAGGTTTCAATGTATGCACCTAATAATTTCTTCGAAGAACAACATCCATTAATTTGTATGCTCTGACTATACCAGAGCGCCATGTCCATAAATGTGTTAAGCCCGGTACCACCCCAATGCGAAGGAAAATACGACCATGCCATAGTGATTATGTTGTTCTTGTTGTTATAGTCCACCAGACCGCACATGATTACTGAAATGGTATGTCGAAATGGCAAAGGTCTTCTACTTCTACTCCAAAGTCGTCAAAGGGGTGGTGGTATCTACTCGTAGTGTGCCAACAGGACACCTAGTTAAGCAATGAAATAAGACGACTCAATGGCAAATAATTGCAAACAATTTAAATGCATTTATGCTAATTTGGATGGGTACAGCAACAACTACAACATTTTACAACAAAAGAAGTGCTCATTATGAAATGTAAACTGGTGTTTATTTGTTTATACATGTATGTATTACCATACCTATATATTTATGTATATAAAATAGAAGTATAATATTATATTTGGGTATGGCATTTAGTAACCTAACCACTAAAGATTTCGC